TAAATTGAATACTTTTTTTGTTGTATCAATTAATTGATTAAAAAAGGCATCTGAATTTTCTTCATTCTTATTATTCTTACTATTCATATCATTCTTACTGTTCTTACCATTCTTGCCATTCTTACTGTTTTTACTATTTTTACTATTTTTACTATTTTTACTGTTCTTATTACTAATTGTTAAAAGCTATATAAACCTTCTCTTTTCTCTTTTCTGTAAAATCAGTCTTGTAATCAAAAATTCAATATTCAATAAAGTTTTAAGTTTTCTACTAGTTCTTAAATAAATATAATCTTTGGCTTTAAAAATAAATTTTACTAATGAACTACTACAGTAATATAATATTCTATATAGATACTGTTGAAAGCCTCTTTTTCATATCTTATATTATTTGTATTATATAAAGAAGACTAATACTTGTAATACTACTAACAATTATTGCTTAGTAGAGTTAATTTTTTATTTGCATATTATATTTAACAGAAGTAATATGTTAAGAGAATAAATTTTTATCTTTGGCTTCTTTATACAAATATATAGAAAAAGCATTTCTAATAGAAGTATTAGCAAGGAAAGCTTTTTATTAGTCTTAGATTATTTGAGATTCTAGTTAGAAAGCAGAAATAAATTATGCAAGACTAGAACTGAATAGTTTACAAGCAAACTAGGTAAACTTATAGAAAATTTCAAAAAGAGACAAAATTATTTCTAGAAATAGCACTCGAAGAACCTAATTAAAAAGAGAGTAATCAACAAACAAAATATAGAGTATAGACAAAGCTAGAAATTACAAATCTAAATTAAGCAGATATGTGGAACAGAAAGAAAGCAATCAGTCTTGTAGAAGTAGTAACTAAAGAGTATAGCAAAGAAATAATAGCAGAAGATAGCAGATTAGTAATAGGTCTAAAAGATTACATAGATAAGATAATTGCAGAAATATTAGAAGTAGATAGTAATATAGTAACAGTGACAAGAGAATAGAGGAAAGTTATAGAAAGAGCAGCAATGACAGAAGAAATCGATAAAGTAATAAGCATACTAGGTTAAGAAGTCAAGTACAAAATAGTAGCAAATGATGAATTAAGAGTACAAGAAAGCAAATCAGACATAGAAATGATATATCAATCAGATTCAAGTAGTATAACTAATAATATAACAAATTCAAAAATGGAAGTAGAAGAAACCTAATTATCAAAAGACAAGAGAACTGAAGAATGACTAAGTCAAATAGAAGAAGTTCAAGAGACTAAAGAAGAAGAAAACAGTACAACATATAAAGAACAACAATATATTACTATAGAAGAATTAGAAGATGATCTATTCTCTGCAGAATCAGACTCGTTATTAAAAAAAAGTATCTAGGTACTAAACAAAGATAAATACGAAAGAAAAAGAACAATAAGAGCTAAAGTAGTAGCTATTAAAGTATTAGGAAACAATGAGAAACACAGAGAAAGATCATTCAGATAGTCAATAGGAAGAAATGTGCATTTAAAAGAAATTACAGAAAAGTTTGAACATAGCAATCTCTGGTACATAGTGACTTTTGATTATATTAAAGACTACGAAGAGGCAAAGAAAAAGTTAGAAAACAAGAAAGAAGAATATAAACAAGCTAATCTCCTTCTAAAGGGAAATGAAGAACAAGAAGAACTGAATAAAATAGCAGAAAATTAAGATACAAGAAACTTAGCTTAAGAGAGCTAAGATTACAAAAAGGAAAAGAGAAACGCAAGCAGAAAAAGAATTTAAAGAAGTTTTCATAAAAAGAGGAGAGAAAGTAGAAACTAATATATATGAGCGAAATCCTTCTAAAAAGAAAGAAACTACAACATACTAAGCTAGCAAAAACCTAAACTTATTAAAAGATAACAACAAAATTACAGTTTGGAACTTGCTAGTTTGAGTTAGAAGAATACAGGTTTTCGAAATAGTTTGCTTTCTGGGAAGAGTAGAATATATTGAAATGATTAAAAGTGCCTCAAACAAAATAAGAGCAGAAGTAGAGCTTAAAACAGGCACCTTTAATAAAAAAAAAATAAATGAGATCTGATGCTTGCTATTTGCGAATGAAATACTAGTAAAATATCAACAGGTACTAACAACTTCTCTTTGCTTCATACAAGAAATAGATTTAGCAAAAGGTTACTAGACTTACTAAAAAATACAAACAAAATACTCCTGTAGAGACAAATAAAAAGATCAGGTGCTAAAGTGATACATATCTTTAAGAACTCTAACAACAACAATATAAGAAGTACAACAGTTTACTTTGAAAAGAAAGAAGATATATT